ATTGGACTTCTGTTGTGAAAGAAAGATGGGATATTTGCTATTATTCACTTCGGACAGCAGCTTTCTCAGGTTATACTTTGTGTGTAGTGTCTGCATTAACATTGACGGCAATAAGCGTGGACAGACTTCTCGCCTTGTTGCTGGGGCTCAGATACAGACAAGTTGTAACTTTGAGAAGAACGAGTATAACTGTGTTAGGTTTTTGGATTTTGTCCATCGTTGGTGCATCTACCATTATTTGGAGTCTATTTATAAACACATGGTATCTACGCATAGTTGCAGCTTTTTGTGTAGTCACTATAATCTTCGCTTACACAAAAATTTTCTGTACTCTGCGTCATAACCAAATTCATGTTCAGAACCATGTTGCTCAAGGACAACCGAGCCAAGAAATTCCCGCACTGAACATAGCTCGATACAGAAAGGCAGTGTACAGTGCACTGTGGGTGCAGGGAACATTTGTTGTTTGTTATCTGCCGATTACTATAGCGGTCGCTTTGATGCCTCAAAGAGGGATACCTATATCTGCATATCGTGCTTGGCATTTTACGGCTACTTTAGTTTATTTAAACTCGTCTTTAAATCCCTTGCTGTACTGTTGGAAGATCAGTGAAGTAAGACAAGCTGTAAAAGAAACATTAAGGCAACTCTTCGGTCGATCGAGTTAGTTTATTATGCTTTTCAGCTGAAAAATCATACTGTTAAATAACTACAAGTACTCGTTTTCTTTATCCATGTCTTATCAACTGTCGTTTAATTAGGCGAACTTCCTTTAGCAAAGCGAGAACCTAAAACTTTAGCCGTTTTTTTTCCGTCGGTCTTCCCCAAATAGTCGGCCATGGTCCCAGAGGTTCCTAGCGGAGACCGAGGAAACTGGGGATAACAATCGTGACGGCCTCTGTTGTAATGATAATAATAATAATAATAATAATAATAATAATAATAATAATAATAATAATAATAATTAATAATAAATAATAATTTTATTCAACTTTAAAAAATATGTACACAATTTACAGAAATATTTGGAGTAAGAATTAAGCACTATATAACATTAACAATAGTATAAATTGATAAGAATAGCAATCACTGTGTCAAGAACGATTTCACAAATACATTCCTTGCGGCTCAGATGCAGTCACTAACTCTTGCAGGCAGTCCAGAGTTTTAAATTAAGTCATTACCAATCTGTCTCTGATATCAAAAGGAAAAACAAGTTAAAAAGAATGGAAAAATAGTAATAATAATATTCATTGCTTTTATTGCGCATTTTAACATTGAAAAATATGATCAAATGCGCATAACATTCGAATAAGACTAAAACAAAAAATATATTACATACTCTCTATATAATAAAGCTTAATCATTTGTTGCATTTCCTTCCTAATAGGTAATTTAGCTCATAACAAGTAAGAAGTAAAAATAGAAGATAAAAGTAGAAAATAATAACCATAGATAGCTCAAGACAGGGCGCTATAGGCCTCTTTAAAATAGTGCGTCTTAATGAGTCTCCTAAACATATCCAAAGTCATTCTCTTTCACAATGTAGTCCAGTAAACCGTTCCATATCTTTGGAGCAGTTGCAGTAAATGATCTCTGTCCCTAAGAGTGCATTTGAACTTAGCGATAGGGTCTTGCGCCCACATTACTCTGCAGGTTAGAGCAAGAACATCGTTTAATATTTATGAGATTACTTAAATCCGCAGGCTCCAGATTGTGAATAGCCTTGAAAGAGATCGCAGCGATTTTATAGCAAATTCGGAACTTCACCGGTAACCAATGCAGTTCAAGCAGCACTAGGGTAATGTGTAAGTATCTGGGTGTATGAGTGATAAGTCGCGCTGCGGAATTCTGAAGACGTTGCAATTTGGAAAGATACACAGCTGGTACACCATAGAGAAGACCGTTGCAATTATAAATGCGTGCCATGATCACGCCTTGTGCAATGAGCCGTTTGGTGTAAGCAGGCGTCAAGAACTTCCTGATTTATCTGATATTATGTAGGTGATAGTAGATGGATTGTCAAGTTGTGAAACCCGGGAGTGGAGCACGTTCGTGTTTTGGACCTCGGAATCATTCCTAATCATTCCTAGCCTGTGTAGCAGGCGCTTGGAAGTTTTGGGCGAAAGAAAGAAACGGCGCGCGCGAGGGAGACACGCGAGGGGTGAGGGAGCAGTGGAAAAGCAGTCAGCACACAAATTTTCATATACCCTACTACTAGCCGAAGTTTCATTCCGCTATGGTTTTTAAGCATTTACGAAGTTTTTGACTTAGTTGCTTCCCATAACAGGCACAATAATTAAAACCGTAGTTGCTATTATTAATTTACCTTTTTTCGGCTATCTGACCTCAAGTTGGTTCGCCTGGGCGGGAAAATGGTTCGATGATGACTTAAGCTTATAAAGCTAACAGTTCGTGTTAATGGAATTTTCTGCCAAATTACTCATACGTCAAGCTTTTAATGTACAGGCCACATGAAAAGCCATTAATTAAAAATCTTCCGTCCAGTTCGTTTCACCTGAGCCTGCATGGCACATGCAGGCT